CAATAGCTGCTTATGGTTAAGAGGTATAGGATTCCCCTTCAATGCATACTTGGTGGGATCTGAAACTGAGACACGGTCCATACTTCGTTGAAGGATTCTTGAATCACGGTCCATACCTAGCTCAACTGTTTTATAGATAATTTCTTGAGACAAAATTAAGAAAGTTCGATCCACTTTTACACGGCAACCCGATCCCAAGTACATGTAGCATATTCTTGCATTCTTTTCAACTGACTCTTTAAATGACTTGTGCCTCTAATTTGCCCATCCCAGTTCCTAAAGTAATTAGAGCAGGTAAAAGAAGCAACATATATAATTATATATTTTTCCTTTATTACGGTTTCTTTTATCTCAAGAAATTAAATAAATTTGTAAAGAGAGCTGAACTTCTAAAGACTAGCTTTAGATCGTGCTTACGTCATTTGCTTGTTAGTCGGGAGGATAGTACATTTCAACTCAAATGCTTCCCAAACCAAGAATCGAGGGCAACAACACGACTGCTAAATTGATTGGAATTAGATCATACGGAACTATATCTAAATCTTGGACTGTGGCTACTAGGACTCTTTGGATCACGATTTCAACATGTCTAGATTGCTCTTCCAAGTGTCCTACAATAATTTTATCTTGTGACGCAGTTTTCTCCCAGCCGCTAGTGAGAAATCATAATGAAAAACTTCTAAATATCGTTTCCAAAAATAATATCTTGTTTGGGAAGTGTTTATGAATAGTATAAATTATAAATAGACTGAAACGAGTAGTTGATAAGTGGGTAATATTTGTGAGTCTGGGTAATATGGATAAGTAGTTTGATGAATTATAAATAATAGCCCAAATATGATTTAAAGGTTAGATCATGGACGGACAGAGGTAGATTATATATCATTGTCTATTATATTATCAAGACGAGTAAATGTACGAGTAATACTACATAACAAACATGTTTTGATTTGTATTATTGATTATTCCAAGTATCAATTCTGTTATGACTTTAGTTGAGCTAATCCTTTCATTATCATTATATTGTCAATTAACAACCGCTACTACCTAAACAATATAATTTAGGGCAACGATTGTCAACTTTCACCAGCAAATTATTTCTTCTTTAACAAGCATAATAATTATTATTACAACAAAATTAAGCAAATTAAAAGAGGTCATGTGAACATGCATGTAAAAAGCAAATATTGATGACTTCTACTAATGGATTTCTTCATCTTGACTTTTGAGTGATAAGTTGGTGCATTTTAAGCAAGTAGTGGCACTTTTAAGTGAATTTTGTTGCATCAAAGTGTTCAATATCAGCTTGAATTGTAAGTAAAGATGTATGATCCCATATTTGCAAAAAGCTTTAGCAAATATGAGCGCCATAGATTTGGATTTTGTGCATTCTTCATAAGTTTGATTGTTGCATTGAGCATTTGCTCAACTTTCAAGCTTCGCTTGCATCCCCTATCGATCAGTAAGTCTTCCTTGGCTCGTTCAGTGTGTAATGCCACTAACAAGACAGTACAATGAACAAGTTTTTTTTCTCTTTTTCCCATTTTTAATACTGTCTAGTCTCGACCACATTAGTCGTTCGTGCCACTACCTATTGGCATTAGCTTCCCTTCTTTGATTATGTTAAAAAAGCGTTTTGATTTGGTTTACTCAATTGAGAATTTGGCTATTCATTGCAGTTGGTGATGCTGTGGATTTGCAGTTGTCAATTGATGCCATTCAGAACAAGCTTGAATTTAATAATACAAGTGAGATTTCCCAGCCAACTGGTAAAATGCTAGCTAAATATTTGATGTTTCCTAGGATCATTCGTCGAGTGGCATGACTGACTGACGGTTATGATAGAGCTTCGCGCTTCATCTTTCGTGCACGAAATGCTACTCATGGCATAAGAGGTTCAATCACAGCCGTCAATCATCCCCACTCGATTCGAGAGTCGCAACTGATGATTTATTTAAGCAGAAAGGCCTTCTGATATAAGGAACTCAGTTTCAGATTTTTCCCTTTTCATTACAGTTGACAATGCTGCAAATTTGCAAGTGACTACGATCAATGCTAGTCGAGATATGGTTATAGTTAACGACACGAGTGGAAGCTCCCAGCCAACAGGTAAAATTCTTACTAAAGATTTGATGTTTCCAAGCATCAGTACCGACAATAGTAAGGAAGAAAAGCAAGTTAAAATCCAATCTATTGAACTGTTGAGTACGATCTAATGCTCAAAAAAAGCCTTTTGATGAAGGGAACTCAGTTTGAATTTTTGTTTCTACAGTTAAAAATGCTGCAAATTTACAATTGTCTATCGTCAATCCTGTTCAGGATAAGCTTATAGTTAATGACACAATTGAAAGCTTCCAGTCAACAGGTACTCGTTAGAAAGCTTGCTGAAAAGCCATCAGTTTCTTACTTCGAATATGAACTCTAATTTCTCATTTGCAGCAACTGAGACGACGAAAATTGAGCGATTCTGCAGCATTTTAGAACCAATGGCCGACTATTGTGAAGTCGAAGGGGATGTAAGGATTCACGCAAATTCTTCCACCGTGTTCTTTGTCATGACTCACATAAACAGCTTGGAAGGAAACAGTTCTTGGCATGTAAAACCTTACGCGAGAAAGGCGAACTTAGGTGCAATGAAGTATGTTAAGAATTGGACAGTGAAATTAGCAGAAAATAAGGATGACATTCCAATGTGTACTAAAAATCATAGTTTTCCAGCCATCCTTTTCTCAGTTGGAGGATTTTCAGGTAACCATTTTCATGATTTCTCAGATTTGGTGATTCCATTATATTCGACGTCGTTGAAGTTCAAAAGGGACGTACAATTTCTTACTACTGATACAAAATCGTGGTGGGTATCAAAATTTCGACCATTGCTTAACAAACTATCCCGTCATGAGATCATCAACATAGACAAAGAAAAAGAAGTCCATTGCTATACAAAAGTCGTCATTGGCCTTAAATCTCACAAAGAGCTTATAATCGATCCATCGAAACCTCAAAATAATGGATTGTCAATGCACAGCTTCAGACAGTTCCTACGACAGACTTACTCGCTCGAGAGAACCAAGGCGATCAAGTTAAAGAGGGGCGACATAAAAAGACCTCGTTTGATGATTATATCGAGAACAAGGACTCGTTTACTAACAAATGAAGCTGAAATAACTCGACTGGCTCGAAAAACAGGATTCGAAGTTATTGTGGACGAGGCTAATCATTCGACGAACCTTTCAAGATTTGCACAAATAGTGAATTCTTGTGATGTACTAATGGGAGTTCATGGAGCTGGATTAACAAACATGATTTTTCTCCCAGATAATGCGGTTTTAATCCAAATAGTTCCATTGGGAGGCATCGACGGATTGGCTAGAACAGATTTTGGAGAACCATCTGATGGTATGAACATAAAGTACTTGGAATACAAGATTAAGGTTAAAGAGAGTTCTTTGAGTAAACAATATCCGTTGGATCATCCAGTTTTTAAAGATCCAATATCTTTTCATATCAAGGGTTGGGATGTCCTTAGGAAAACATACTTGGATCAGCAAAATGTGACACTTGATTTGCGTAGGTTTAAAGGAACATTGGCTAAAGCCATGAAGATTTTACATCATTAGCTTGCTTTTCAAGTTATGTACTAATTTATGTCCATTCTTTTTCGTAGTCTACTCTTGTAGAAAGGAGCTCTGTCATCTTAACTCCACACATCACACCTTATTTGTAACTTCTTGACATTGATTTGAAAATTTAATATATAAATAATTTATGATCGGTGGATAACGATTATTATTTCAAGATTAGTTTCAAATAAGTATTAAGCACATGTTTGAAAATCATCTGCAACTCATTTTCAACCTCACACTCACAATAAAATATTTTGTCCGTAAATTTAAAACTCCTTACTACTTTCTAACCAAGAATTCTAAAAAAAATTCTTTATTCCGAAACTCATTTTAATGATTGTCAAATAGGAGCAAAATGAAGACACCCTTACTTGGTGGCCATAATTTTTTATTTCTGAACATGCTTAGAAAAAATTGCTTCACTTCAAACTACTAAAAAAATGCTTATTTTAACAGTAGGATGACAGCATCTTAATTCAAACTTAGATGAACAAATTTTTTTTTCATATCTCATTTACTTATAAGCAAACTTGCATATAAGAAAAAAAATTCCAGCTCAGCCAAACAAGCACTTCTCTTGCAACATTACAGCAGCTGTAAAGAATGATTCGTCTATTATCACTGTATAAACTTCATTCTTGTTTCTTAATTTACAAATATTGTCGCCACTTTGTCCAACAGCTATAGCTAATATCACAGATACAAGACCCTATATAACCCAGAATCAAGCCTGAAATCCACCCAAGCCCAGTCAGTCGGGTCCACCCCGTTTGAGCACGCTCCTGAGCTGGTATATCTACCTAACTCCTTAAATTACTTGCAAAATCTAACAGCGCATAAAGAAACTAAGTCTACTCTAGAGACTAGGAAAATAAGAAACAGATTCCTAATTAGGCATCTTTCATATCAAAGATGTAGTATACGATGTGCACTTATGTTGATCCGGACAGATCCAAATCGTAGACCTGGTGCATATTTGAGCAGGTGGCCAGGACTTCTATGGCCTCCAAAGAATGAAGGAATCTTGTTCTAAAAAAAAAACAGCTTAACATAGCAATGCTCTTCCCATAAACACTACAAGAGTGATGGTAGCGACCTCATCCTTGAGGGCATGTTTGGCTAAGATTAAGAAGTTCACTGTTAAGTTACTACTTATCTGAAGAACAATTTTCTGCCGTATAATTCCAACCATATACTCAACCAAGTTTCTGCCTCCAAAAATGTCATTTTTACTCCAAAACTGAGGGTTAAAATTGTTGGGATGAAGTTGGAGCAGTCAACCTTCTGAGATTTCATCTCGGGCAGAATCAGTCGGCCAATAGCAATGATTATTAGGTATATTGATAAACTTGATCAAAACATAATATCTATATGCAACTACCTCCACCTTGCAGCAGGAGTTTGCTTTTTCTTCTTGCTCTTCTTCAGAATGGTAGACATGCAGTCGATGGTTTGTTGGGATGATTGGCTCTCGCCTGTCAGCCATTGCAGAGCCTCTGCAGCTGCATCTTTTTCTGCTTCTTTCTTACTACTGCAAGCCCGGCCCGCAAAATCTAGTCCATTAAATATGATGGTGGATTTGAACTTGTTGTTCTTCAGCTGTGCTGTTTTGTAAGTAGGTGATTGATGTCCTGCCCGTGCAAGCAACGTTTGGAGGCGGGATTTTGAATTATCACCAGCACAATCATTTGTCAAAGAAATATCCTTTTTGGTCTTTTTGGAGGTTGTTGACACCTGTCGTCCATATACAAACCTACCTTCGCATTGGTCCTCTGAGACCAACAATCTCACAGCCGTTAGGAGTTCATCCTGACTCTGTATATCCAATTTCAGATTTAAAAGCTGCCATAGAGCAAACAAGCATTAGGTGAAGAAAGAAGCATTGTTTTTAAACAGTACCCGGGAGTTGACCCAAAAATTTAAAGGTTCAACAGTCAAATGATACAACCGGGTAAAAAATAATTAATTTAGATATACCAAAAAAATATAAAGATTAATAAATTTTCATTCATATGAAAACAAAATGTGTATTAATAACATAATGATAATAAATATAGCATGATAATGGTTAAACAACTCTTAAAATGAACTACTCTTTTCTTTCCAAAAAATCCAACTGGTCAACCTGTAGCTGGGTTAATTGGTTCCCTGTTGCCACTGGCCAATTGACCAGGTCTTGTGGCGGGCTTTTACACTTATATAACCATCCTGATTCCTGATTATTCTGGTTAAATGGGCCAGGCCAGGACAGTTTCATAACATTGGAAAGAATACATTGATCTAGGCATATATTCCTTGTAAATACTTTCTTATGGTAAACCAAAACATGTGAAGGTTTGTATTTGCATAAAATTAGTATACCTTCTTGTGTACGAGTTCATCAAGCTCTTTCTTTAGAGTTAGATAAGTTGCTGCCAAATCAGGCTTCATGAAAAACTCCAAATATCCGTCCAGCATTTTCAAGTGGCCATCCTAAACAAAAATGAGAAACAGATTTACATTAAGTATGTGGAAAACTGCAAAGACGACTGTGGAAACTTCAACAATCTGGTATTGATAAATCCACAAGGAACAACACACTTACAACTCCACCTCTGGAAATATTTCCTCCAAATAAGAGAACCACAGAATCAGATACACCAGTAGAATCACGGAGGAATACTGAATTTACTTTCACTTTTTCATTGAAAACAAGCCACGGATAAGGAATTTTAGGTTCTTGGGCATTCACGGAGTTCTGACAAGAAAAAGGAAGGAATATGTTGAACACAATATCCAATTATCTAAACCAAGGTACTATTAAAAAGCGCAGAAGACTAAATAGCAGTTGGAGTAATATGGACACTCACCGAATACATAAGTACTCCACCATCCTCCATTGTTTTCAATGATATTGACTTCTCCTTGTTCTGGAAAGATATGGTTGTATTAGCTTTTAACTTTCCATAATGATTACAAGGTAGGGAAAAATAAATCACCCATCCGAAGTATATAGGAGTATAAGGGCATGTCTAGTACTCAATATTGGACAAAAATAAGATAGTACGATGAATAAGAATTTAGTCATTTTCTCGTTCTGTCGTACTGTCTAGTGTTTTACAATCTACATTTCCAAAGAAACCACGAAACTACATATAACTCACCACAACAGAGCATACTCCAGGAAATAGACCAGCGCACACAATTGCCCGAATGAGATGCTCATCATGACTCGATGTGTTGCAACTTTCCATATTATCAACCAACCCAATGTCCTTGAGCAGATAAGAGAATTGATTTTTAAGGGAGTCAATGGCTTTTAGAGTTTGTGCAGAAAGGAAATTTTTCCAACAGTATTCATAACCAGAACGATGACTTTCAGCATCTTTCCAACCCTCGTAAGCCCGAAGCAAAGCAAGATGGTCACTGAAATCACGTGCAGAAAACTGGGCCTTTGCAGAATCGGCAAGCTGCAAGAAGAGAAGAAGAGATTACTGAAAGGTAATTTCTTCCATCTTTTGTAATTAGAAATGGCTATCAAAGGACAGCTACTTTACAAGGGAAAGCTATGGAATTTCAACCTGAAGAAACATAAATCTCAGAAAATTAGAAAGGAAAAAGATGCGTGCATCACATTGGGTGTTTTTGGGGTGGGTTTTGCAATGTAGAAACGTGACATTTAGCCTCTGTTTGGTAGATATTAAAATCAGATTTTTAGTAAATTTTGATAAAAGTTATGACATGTGCGGTTGAAAAGTTGTTGGTCCCATAAAAGATGTGGTTGAAATTAATTGTCGCCTTTTACTTGAGATTTAATTAGATTTTAATCCAAACCAAACAGGGGCTTGATAAAATAAATGATGCAGATTCATGAATGAAGATAAATCAGCATAGAGATGGCTTCTTTATATACTGAAAACAGCTAAATGGTTAGTCAACCATGAAGTCTTAACCATCAGGATTCCATAAAAGCTACAGATGGTGAAATCCACAATCGTACTTAATCAGATATCATTCGTGCTACTTACGTCCTTCTTGTCAAATGGTGCCAAGAATGGATCTCTGACACTTAGACCAGCAACAATGGTCATTACTGGATCTAAGCAGCCAAAAATAGCCCCTAATATGAGCATTTTTCCAAGTTTTGGTTCAACAGGAAGCATGGACAAGTTGCGCCCTGAAACCAAGCAATTTTATCACTGATCTTTTCTTCATCCAGTAATTCTAAAAATGACATCCTTAAGACAGCACAGAAACGAAAATTTTGAGAAAAGGTAAAAAGTTTTGAATTCCACATGTACCTAGCACTGTTAGATTTTCATTTTCATCTAAAGCCCCAATTATCTTCAAATACTCAACAGCATTTTGAACCTGAAAAGCAGATGAGAACCAATAAACAAAGATAAAACAAGCAAAAGCAGCAGCAGTGTGAGGAACAAACTTCAAGGGTACGGGAAGGTGGAGTGTGTTACATATCAATGGAAGGTTCATTTTAACTTACTGATAGCAGCTCGGGTGGCTGTAGGGCCTTAGATAGGAAGTCTGAAATGCTACCAAGTTGTAGACTCTTGATTTGCAAACATAGAGATTGTAAAGGAGTTCTCAAAAGTTCGGGCAATTGATAATCTGCAAAGGCATCATGTACACATCTAGGATAAAGATGGTAACACTCGCCTGGCTGAACACGGCCTGCCCTGCCTTTCCTCTGTCGAACAGTGGGAAATTAGTACATAAAATAGGTTGAATTCCAAAACCATACAAACTAAAGTTTTGTTGGGCATATTAAAATTTCAGAATTTATAAGTTAATTTGTACTGAATCTGATATACTAACAAGTTCAGAAAGTTTAGTAGATTAGAACAATCTTACCTGGCGAACAGAAGCCTTTGAAATCCAGGTAGGAAGCAAACATGGAGTGTTATTTAGGGCATCATAAGATGTCTCTTTTGCTTTCCCACAGTCAACCACGAAAACCACATCATTAATGGTGATACTTGTTTCGGCCATGTTTGTAGCCAGAACGATCTTCCTGACTCCATCTTCAGGCTTATCGAAAATCAATTTCTGTGCTTTGCAAAGAGTAAAAGTTCACAGAATGACACAAGGCAGGGACACAGAGAGTTACTGAGATAAGGCAGTAGAAATTAATAACTAATTGTAACGAGACAAAAATGTGTATAAGTTCAGTTGCACCATGCATATTCTTCAAATTGCATATCTGATATCCTAACACTAAATCACGATAGACAACCTAAGCATTTTGATATTACTACTCAATGCTCTAATTAATTACGATATCAACCAACGCTGAACATATCTGACAAAATAAGTTATAAACATCTCCCCGAAAATAAATGAATAACAAAACCATTAAGCAAGACGTATGGAAAAGAAGTTAGAAAGGAGGTTGCCTCAGAATGTTCTTCTTTTTTTCTTTTTCCAATTTCTGCAGAATTTAGCCAGTGATATTAGCAAAAGCAACAGGGGGTAGAGGATGAATCAATCCTTCCAGATAACATGTTTTTGATCCTTCCATTTTTGTTCAGACGGGAGGAAGAAGTCAGAACTGACAAGTATCACGTCCCAGATTTTCCTTTCCTTAACACTCCTAAATCAAACAACTTGATCATTCCTATAATGTTGGATCAGCTGTTACGTCATCCAAGTCTGATGCATAAAATCCTTCTCATAGCTGATTATTTTCCCAGTTCCCATACCCAGAACCATACAAGGACACAAATCAGATTTTTGGCGTGCCTATTAGAGACTGGAATCTCATTTTAAATGTTTACAGTAGGTTGTCAAGTAGCGTCGGGGAGAGCTTTATAAACCAGTAACACAACTCCCGTGACACTGATGGTGAGGGGCATAAATGTTCAACCTCAGGCATCATTTACTAAACGTTTTCTATACTAAACTATAACGCCTCCAAAAAAATCATTGGTTCGACTGTGTTTTGGTAAGTAATATAAAAGTCAACAGCATGTCCTGAGAACTCGTTCCGTAAATGACTTTCACTATAGTTTGCTGAGTCTATATAATTAAAAAAGAACAATGCGGCATGTAAAAGGCACCAATAAATATCAAATCACCTGTTCTGTACTGGCCATTGAACCATGGCATGCTAGCAGCAGAACTCTGCTTGGATCCCCCAATAATGGATGAGCTTGAAGCTGATCCTTCAAAGAATTTATGTCATCCCAACCAGTCATAAACACTAGCACAGCCCCAGGCCTTTCGTTGCGACATATATGGCAAAGCACACGCTCAATGAGGTTGAAGCCAATCGAATCAGGATTCCAACAAGATAGTGACTCGCGAGTATGGTGACCATACTCCTTAAAATTGGCAGCCATAAGAGCATCCTGTTTCAAATCCAAAAGTTGAAGAATAAACCAATCAACAATTAGAATGGGACCAGAAAGGCATGCTGACCTTATAAAGAACTCATACCTCAACAGATGAAGCAATTTGAGTTTTCCTTTTTCTAAGACCCTGCTTCTGCATTTTCCACATCTTGTCTTGACCATAATTATCAATTTGATTATAAGGCGTTAACCTGTACCCAGTCATCTCTAGAATATTTTCCAAAAAAAGACTTCGAACTGGGTATGTAAAACCCTGATTTTAAGGCACAGAATAGTCCAAAATCAAGAGTTACAAGTTTTACATGAGTATTTGACAATTATCATGCAATGTTTAAAAACTCTTCGCATTCTAACTTACAGGGATGTGGATCATTGGAGCACCACCAAAATAGGAAGAGAAAAGCTCCGCATTAAGTGTTGCGCTCATCAAAATCAATCTCAATTCAGGTCGACGAGGAAGGAGGTCTTTCAGGACAATTAATAGGAAGTCTGCCATGAAATGCAGATAATAATAAGAACATTGTCGATAAACGAGCACAAAAGATCATCAGATAAACAAATACCTTCATTCATTCCACGTTCATGAATCTCATCTACAATAACATGAGTTACACCTTTCAAATTTCTGTCAACTAGTAATCTCCTTAAAAGGATTCCAGTAGTACAAAACAGGAGGCGGGTATCCCTCCCTCTCATTCCCTCTAACCGCACTTTATAACCAACCTTCAAGAATGAAAAGAAAAATAAGGAGACTCGTGAAAATATTCTAAAGAATACCAGTTAGAGAACAACTTTAAGCAGCAACAGGTAATGGACTTACAGATTCTCCTATTTTCTCACCACGCTCAGCAGCAACTCTCTCAGCAACTGCCATAGCAGATATTCGTCTAGGTTGGGTACAGATAATGCTGCATGCAGCTCCTTGAGTGTTTTCAATTGCAGACTCTAAAATGTATTGAGGCAGTTGTGTAGTTTTACCACAACCAGTTTCACCAGAGACAACCACCACCTATAAACTCAATTTCAATCAAGGTCATGGAAGAGTACATCTAATAACCAGAGACTTGCTTCAACCAGGTTTTATTTTTATATTCCTATAACTCGAGATGTAGCATTCTAACAATTTCAAATACATATTATCAAGCAGATCTTTAAAAAAAGAACCAAGGATCACATGCAGTTTGAAGCCTTTCATATATCAGTGTTAAATGCTAGAACTACACCGCCAAATATGGAAGTGAAACGTAAAAGGTCATCGAGCTGTCTCGTTTATTAATTCACAAGAAAGTCATACCCCTCCGTTTCAATTCAATCTCCTTTCTACTATAGTTTGTTTCCCAATAATGAATGCCTACTCAACTTATTCCTCTTTGTTCCTAAAGTGCGCCATCTAAAATATCATTATTTTATATTAACGTTTATGCAGCAATTTCCTACTAAATCTACCATCCAGCCAAACAAACAACCATGTCCATTGCCCCATCACATCAAGACCAGCAGCAGCAGTTATTAATACGAACAAGGCATAGATCCAGGGTAAATGGTTACAAGTTACGGTTTAGATTAGCCACTGGACAGTTGGGTGGCATAAATATAAAATATGAAAGACGATATATTAAAATATGATAAATATGTCAAATATAAATTAAATTATTAAATATTTAAAATTGGTAAAACAACCAAAATATAGTAGTTTGAATTTGAAAAATCATTCATTAGAATTAACAAAGACGAAATATCACGTGGATGTACATACTAGAATAGAATAAAGATCAACTATTATGAGACTATTTGTTTGCAGGATCTATGAATAAGTCACTGGTATAATTATAGATATTGATGAATGAACATGAATATGACTACTGCAAGCAGGACGACCATATTCATGAAAAATTATGGGTGTACGTTGACAGGGCTAGAAATTGTGGGTTGAAATGCTGCGATGCCATTTAAGTTTATACTTTGGGGCTGTGTTAGATGGCTGGAAAGGATAGTGGATTTCTTTAATTATCGTTCCCTTTTCTTGAGGATTTCATCAGACTCCAATAGCCATAAGCATATGGTCACTCTCACCTAAACAATCAAAGTTTGTGCAAGACATCAAAATTAAAAGGGAATAAAATTCGTGATCTTTGAATTTAAAAGCCGGGAGGGGGGGGGGGGGGGGGGGGCGGCACATCATGTAGCATGATAGATATTGAAAAAGGGCCACGCATAATTAGAGTGCCGATGCTAAATCCATCAGAGTAAACCAATGTGTAAAGAAGAAATTGTACAATAAGAAAGTACACAATCAGAACTCTTTGATAGAATAATCCATTATGTACCTGATTTTCAGATATAACACTCAATAATGCATCTCTCTCTTTATATGCAGGAAGACTTTTCCGACATTCTTGCATCTTTTGGCCTTCTGCAGATTCCTACATAAAAGGAAACTTTCAAGATCACAATTGCAGATACTTGTTCAAATGCTTCAAACATATATATATACACATTGAAGCATATTTCATATTCCAAAATTTAATTGTGAAGACATTCAGAAACCTAGCGTAGTTACATTTCAGATATGATAATTTTCTCCACAATATTTCTTGCTAAGTAACTAATTTTTAATCAACATTGGAAAGCTATTATTAATACTTATAAAAGAAACCCCACTCACCACCCCCACAAAGCGGTAGCCTCCCAAGGGGAAAAGTAAGCTGTCTTTAAATTTGAGAATAGCAAAAATCCCTCCACAAAGATTTGACAGCAGTTGAAGTAAAGAGTCTATCTACCTAATTGATCGAGTTAGCCAAAAAGAAAGAGAACGCCAGTGCCGATGAATGATTTGAATACTACTGTACCAAATTTATAATCCCTAATTAAGAAAGCAAAGGTAGTGAGAAACAGAACTCTCAGTACTGTTTTTCACGTATGTCAAAAATATGAGGTCAGTCAATGGTATTTCAAGAAATAAAAGTTTCGTGTAGATTTCCTAAAAACTTTACAAGTCTCCAGAAGAACCAACTGATGGGTGATCTAGAAGCAAATGGAAAGTGTAAAATATGAGGCAAGTGAACGTTAGCAGGTTGTATCAAAACAACGAAAAAATGAAATCAAAGTCTACCAGGGTAATCAAAGGTAATAAAACAAGTGTTCATTACCGAACATAGAAAACAAGATGCAACTCAAATAGGTACATGAACTACTAGTAATCGCATAAATTTGGATGATAACCTGCCAATCTTGTTGTTTACTGCGCATTTGCATGCTCCTCCGCATAAGAATTCTCTCTGCTACGACACTTCGAGGTGAAGGCTCCTCGTGCTCATAAACTCCATTGTTCGAAAAACTCTCACCAGCACCTAATGTCGAGACGGCGTCATGAGGAAAGTTCTCCTTGTTCATAGGCTTTCTAGAAATGTGTGCTCGGAGATGAGAATCTACCCGCCTTTGCAACCCAAACGGTAAAACTACCTATAAACATTCAAGTAATGGTTTTAATCATAAAAAATAAGCAAATAAGAATTTAAAAGTCTAAGAGATCTGATAAGACACAGAAAAAGCATCCACATTATTATTCATTTATTGCTAACGTACAAATTTCAAGAATGCTAAAGCAGTTCCCCCACGAGAAGTTCTTTTCATTTTCATTTTCAATGCCAGATAGGATAAGGAGTAAGGATTCAATTTCAAAGATCATATAATTAAGATAATACCTCTCTCTGCGGACGCTTGTCATCCAAATCTGATCTATAATTTGGCAGTGGGACTTTACTGAAAACAACAAACTTTCCATACTGCTGGCTGCAATGAAAGTAGACTATTGCTAAGAAAACGGCATAGAAGAAAGATTAGAAAAATGTGTATATCAGAGAACCTTTTAGAATCTTAGATACCTGTGCAAATCCATTCTGGTTGCCAGTGTTGAAAGCTGCCCAAAATCACGCCTGTCTTTTTTCTCCCGTGACACGACTTCCTGTGAATCTTTGTTGCGCATTAACATGGTGAGCTTCCACCTCCACTCTTCAATATTTTCAAGGGTTGAAGCACCCTGGCGATCACAAATTGACAATAGCAAAATAATGGATATATGACCCATAATAAATTTCACAAAAGAACATTTCTATCGAGAAGAAAGTTCATATATACACTTCTAGCACTTTTGTAAAGAAATAATTCAGAGAAATGATTCAAAGGTTTATAATAGAAAATATAATGCTATTTCCGAAAAAGCAGACAGGAAAAATCCAGAATGAGTTTATCAAGCAGAAAACTTGAAGCACTAATGAGGCTATAAAAGAATATTATATCCCCTCACACAGTCCATTAATACTTAAACAGCAAAGAAGAAAAAGAACAAGTGTATCGCCAATTGAAAAACCACTACAGTTCCAACACAAATAGTCTACCATGATTCCCATGGTAGCACAAATAGTAGGTACCAATAAAACTTTTATTTACATTTACTGGTGCATAATAATATATATAGCAACCAAAATAGGGAAAGGAACCATTATCTACAGTAACTAATTTCACAAATACACGAAGCAAAAAACTATAAAGAAAAGTATTATATGTCGAGCCAAGTGTAAATAATTTCAAGCAAAGGGAAATAAATGAAAAAAAAATACGAAATGAAATTTACTGGTGCCATTTTCCATCAACGCCCTCAACCTAGGGATAGAATTAGTTATTTAAAAAAAAAATGATACATCACCATTTCCTCAGAATTCAAATAAAATCTCAATCATATCCAGCTCCAATCATTTCAGTAGCTAAAATCCCACAAACTCAGACGAGAATATCACCACAAAATCAAAGAAAACTTACCAATTGCTTAGAAGATGACTCGGGTTCGCTATCAGACTCCTCCTCAGACGCATACTCGTCGTATGCGAACCTACCATAGCCCAAATTCCGCTGATACAAATACGGCAGAGAAGAAGAAGAAGCAGCACCATTTCTACTACGCCTCAATACAACAGAAGAAGAAGAAGAAGAAGAAGGTCCCGAAGCATAGCAAGTAAAACAAAACCCCCTAAATCGAATAGGAACAGTGATACAATTTTGTGGGTACAAAATATGAAAACCCCGGTTCAGTTTTAGTGTGTTTATGTGTGAGAAACTGGTTCGAGACATGGCTCTGAGGTTCAGCTTTAACGAATTGTGAATCAAAATCGAAGAGAAAGGCATTCTATATTGCTACCAATGAATTTGAAGGATTGATATTTGTGTGAGCAAGGGGGACGAAACGTGGAAATATTGATTTTTGTGGTTAGGGTTTAAGGGTGAAGGGGGTGGAGGGAAAGGGATATCCATTAGTAAGCTGCTTACTGGATGGTAAAAATAGTTTACTATATTTGTGTTAAATGTTTCATTAGCCACTCAAATTTCATACATGTCACGGTTTACTCACCCACCTTTAAAACGTATCTTACTGGCCACTCAACTTTAAAATGTCCCACTCCGTTGGCCGCTAGATCAAAATCGTTAATAACGTTGTCCACGTGGTTGACGGTATGATGACGTGTCACATTAAATTACTAATTAGATATCACGTCAACGCCATGTGTGCAAATTAACTTTGCTCCATGTCACGGATTACTCACCAAACTTTGCTATATGTCACGGATTACTCACCGAACTTTGTTCTATGTCACGGTTTACTCACCGAACTTCCAAAATTGTCCCATTGACCACCAAACTTCACTCCGTCCAACTCCATCACTCACCCAAATTAAAAAAGTGTTTGGTGGGGGATTAAAATTAAATTTTTTGGTAGATTATGATTGAAATTTTTGAAATATGTGATTGAAAAGTTGTGGAACTCATGAAAGATACTATTGATATTGATTGTTTGACTTTAAAATCAGATTAAAATTTGTACAAAACATACCCTAAATATAAGTTACAAATATAATAATAAGATTAAATTTTGTAATAAATCTGAAAATTAAAATCAAAACTGAAAATTAAAAAAGAATACTAATAACTAAAATTTAAATTGTTAATTTGAAAGTTTTTTAAATTTATTCTTAGGTCATTGATATTCTTGATTTGTGGCTTAGGGTTTTGTATATCCCTGGAAGTAGATTTGAGGATTTTCTTATTTCGCTTTTCTTTAGTCTGCTCAAACAATTGGTTAGAGATGCATTTTGTTCTATTTAATCAAAACGAGATTCAATTATATTATGAAATGTGTGTTTGGCACAGATGATTTGGAGCTGACTTGGCAATTAAATTCATATTTGGAAGTATTTAACTTGCCAACTCAACTTTCGTCGTCCAGGTAGGCTTGTTCAATTTTCTTTTTTTAATTTTCAGTTTTGATTTTAATTTTCATATTTATTAAAAAATTTAATCTTATTATTATATTTGTAACTTATATGTAGGGCATATTTGGTAGAGATTTTAATCTGATTTTAATATAAGTTAAAATCAAACAATCAATATCAATAACATCGTTCATGGGTCCCCCAACTTTTCAACCGCATATTTCAAAAACTTCTATCACAATTTATCAAAAAATTTAATTTTAATCTCCACTAAACACCTTCTTAATTTGGGTGAGTGATGGAGTTGGACGAAGTGAAGTTTAGTGGCCAACGGAACAATTTTGAAAATTTGATGAGTAAACTGTGACATAGAAAAAAGTTCGGTAAGTAATCCGTGATATGGAGCAAAAAGTTTGATGAGTAATATGTGACATGGAGCAAACTTAGTTGAGTAACTCATTTGCACACAGACGTTGACGAGGCATCTAATTAGCAAGTTAGTGTGTCACATCATCATACCGTCAGCCACGTGGCACATCATCATACCGTCAGCCACGTGGACAATGTTATTAACGATTTTGATCAAGTGGTCAACGGAGTGAGACCGTTTAAAGTTGAGTGGCCAATAGGATAAGTTTTAAAGATGGTTGAGTAAACCGTGACATATATGAAAGTTCAGTGGCTAATGAAACATTCAGTTCACTATCTTTTGTTAGACATGTTTTCGTAAAAAGATTTTCTCTGTTTCTTTTTGGTTTTAGTTTTCCTTTTTTTAAAAATAAAAGTAGAAGTGGACACGGTGTGGTTCGATTCGGTTCCCTTACTATCTTTTGTTAGACACGTTTTCGTAAAAAGATTTTATCTATTTCTTTTTAGTTTTAATTTTCCTTTTTTTTTAAATAAAAAAAATAAAAAGTAAGAGTGGACGTGGTGTGGTGTGGTGTGGTTCGATTCAATTCTGAAAGGAACCGAATCGAACCGAATACTAACAGAAATCATAGAAACGGAACAATTGGTTCCATATTTAACCATAGAACCGAACCAACTAGTTCTGATTCAATCCGGTTCGGTCCATTGTATTGAAAAAATTATAAAAATAAAGTATGAAATTACTTGTCAAATTGAAAATAAACAAAAATAGTGTATAAATTTACTCGTCATTATTGTGATCTAACAATTAAAAAAAATCCTTAAACAATGCAACAAACAGAAATTCACTTAAAAGTTAAAAATCAACTTCTAAAGACGAAAAAATGATAAACTATTAAACGCAACATAAAAGGTAAAATTTTGACCAAAAATTAATTCTTAAGAAAATTCATACTACAATTATTTTTAGTAATTCTTAAGGATCGTGATGCTTGATGGCCAATCACTTTGAAAACAACAGCAATTTTGTTAAATTTTGTTTACCCATTAAAGAAGAAGAAGAAGAGTATAGGAAATGAAATTTTAGCGTGAGATAATTTTGGAATCTAGTGTTTAAAGATTTAATACATCTTAGTGTAAGTAAAAAGAGAAATTCACGAGAACCAAATTCATTGTTGGTTTATACGGCAGTACCAAGAATCGAACTGGAACCGGTTGCTTCTATTTGGTTTCAGGAAAAAAATAAATCAAGCTAAGATAAATTTGTTATTTTATATAAAAATTATTTTTTTAACAATTGAATTCCCAGTTTAATCACAAATAGACCACTCACGCAGATATTTGAAAGATTTGAAATTTCACGTGCTAAAAATCAAAGGCTTGGGACCCATCACAATTTTCAAAGGTTCGAGACCCCACATGCAATTACTCCTTTGTTTTTCTTTTTGCTTTAGTTTATTTATTTTAAATCAAACCGAGGAGCAATATAGTCATTTACTTACTCAAAATTTGATCTTGCAAATCGACGGTTTCCATCGCAAAAGGATATCGGGCACAAACATTGGTAAGGTCTAAAACTCCGAGTGCTAGAGATCAAAAGTTCTGAACCCGTCGTCGCAACTAGCTAATCAAATTATAAATGATTTCAATTCGATAAAGATATCAAGACACTTACTTACATTACATATAGACTCGGGTGTCATAAAACAAAAGGCAAGACTAAGAGAATTAGTATTGAACTTATCAAACTATAAATCTTAGAGCAAATAAAATTATTTTCTATATCTAATAAAACTAAATAGTCATTCATTATAAGAAAAATATTTTATACACACGATTTAGTCGAGAAATACACACACGATGGCTTACAAAAAGTTTCTCAATCGAAAATTGATGTTCAAGTATTGGATGCGATTTGTTCTTTTATTGGGAACGATGTTCTTCGTTGAGACTGTGATGATCAAGATGGTAGAGATTGTGATTTTAAAGGAAGTTCATATTGTTCAAGAAAATAACGACAAGAAGAGAGTCGAGGTTGTCTAAACTAAAGACGATGAAAACAGAATTGAGATTAGCTTGTTACAAGTCAACCTACAAAATCTAAGGCGACAACAGCGGACCTGCTGTTAGTTTCTACCTAATGCAAATATATCTACACGAGATCACCATCGAGCCCCAGAAGGATGAATCAACACCATCTGGTCGAAATAATTGAGCTATAAAAATCAGACAAGGAGACTAGAGATTTTCTGGGGCAACCCATCAACCTCTTCGTTGTACTCTGCAATCAATTCTTCCTGGCGGAAAAAAAACCGAAAATTAAAGATCAGACAACCTAGGGGAAAAAAAGAAAGAAAAAAGAAAAAAAGAGTCCATTATTTTCTCCAAAAACAAACAATTTAAGATGGTAGAGGGCTGTGGAGACCATTCCATATCCCTTTTTCTGCCTTTTGTGGGGAATCTATTTTGAAGACAAATACGGATATCCATCAAAGAAATATGGTTCTATCTCAAGGTTCTATTGAACAAAAATGACACATTTTTTGCATGACGAGTGAATAAAACCATTTCCGACTGTCTGATCACATTCGATAGTTAATGAACCAGGAGATGCAAGATCACATTCCAAGTTCGACTGAGCTATGACAATTTTTTATTACTTCAAATACATACTACCTGACAAGCCATGGAAGCGTGGCATGTCCTAAAAATCAACAAAAAGTTTAAAAAAAATGTTGTAGAAACTTCGTGTTGAATTGTTTTTATCTACTATATGCAATTTCCGATACACGAAAATACTCTTATTTTGGTTCCACCTATTATAAAAAGTACAACAAATAGTCGCATTCTCTTTTTCTAAAGATATCACCTCCAAAGTCAAAATCTAAGCTAAAAAGAATATTAATCTTATCAAAATAAAACACAAACGTAGAATTTTAGTAGACATGGCTATATCATAATTCTTAAAAAGTTAGTCCATGTCTGTACAACGTAGAAGAAAAGCAATAAAAGTACCTCAGCATCTCTTTTTGGTTGAACACCAATGCTTTTAGAAGCACTAATACTAGCACTCTTTAACAAGCTACGTGCACTGTAGTTTGCCTTATTCAATCCATTTTGTTCATTTCCAGTCAAATGCTCGGATCCCTCAGGGCCTGGAGGACTCTGAAGAGTCGTAGTAACAGAAGCTGAAGTTCGCCTTTCAAAATTGTTATCTTGATCATTAGCTTCATCTTTGGGTGCAGGGACCCGTTCTCTGAACATACAGTAGGTAAAATAGTAAAACACATAAATCAAACTCACAAAATATAGTACTCCCTAAACAAGACAAATATTAAAAGAAATTTTTTTTATACGTTTGAAAATTATTTTTATTTAATTATTATAAAAGATGACAAACAAGACATGTATAACCTCAGACACATTTCTAAATAGTTTTATACCCACTGTCACAAAACTAAAATATGTTTTTAGGAGCCCACATTTATTGAATAGATATTTGTTCGTGGTTTTCAAACAAAAATTTAACAAACAAAAAGCCAATAATAACAAGTAATCCTCAAAATGAACTAAAAGAGATGAAAATCGAGAATGCTACAGAAAAATGTTGGATGACATGGAGCAGGGCCTAAATGCAGCACAAGTAAAATGGAAATATAGAGAGAAATTATATCCCACCTATAATTTCTCTTATATAATAAATGAAACGCAATCTTGATCAATAAAAGGTTTTCAATATGTTTTGTGAATCCCAAAAATAATTGACTGGAAACGTCAAAAATTAAGCTCGAATCACTGCTATTTATAATTGTTTTGTTTTTGGATGAATTATCTATCCTATTGTCTCCATCAAGGCAATGCGAATGTCCTATATCTAATAGTTAATACCATAAAACTGGCATATCAAACAAATAACATAATTGGAGATTGTTTACTAATAGGGAGGGTCTTCTCTCTATGCGAAAATGTTAAGCACATGTTTGGTTTTGAAAAAAATTCAGATTTTTAGCAGATTATGATAAAAGTTGATAAAATGTGTTGTTGAAAAGTTGATAAAAGTTGTGGATCCCAGAAATGTGTGGTTGAAAATGGGTTTTAAGAAATGAGAGTCAAACATGGGCTAAATATTTTTGTTTTAAAACACTGGGTGTATGTTTATTATGTTGGATGGGACAATACTAAATAGTATTAAAAAATAAAAACAAGTTAATCTCATACTTTATCCTCTAAATACTGTCCAGTACTATATGTTAAACATAGTATGGATTATTGTATTATAGATAACCTAAGCCCCCACATAAACCAGCAAGAAAATGACCAGTATCCTTATTTGCTATGTACCTAGGCAATGAAGCATGCTGCCTTTGGAGTGGAGAGCTTCTTTCACCTTTACCATTATGCTCCTCGAGATGGGCAAACTGTCGCTTGAACCGATCAACACCACTGACGGACGTAAAACAACGTACGAGTGTGTCATGATTCTCAATAACAAAATCATAAGAAGCAAACTTCTGTTGTTTTACATAAATCAGTGAGCAAAAGGCAGTCGTAAACCAAAAGGACATACTGAAATCAATGACCAACCTTGGGTACATAAAGCCACTAGTCTGATCTCCACCACACAGGTGCTCCTGAAGCATCTGAGGGTGATACTCTAAAATCTGTTTCGTAAAGATAAGAAGTATTGAGGATAAATCCAATAAACATTGTATCAGAGGTAGCAAGTAATGCATCGTTAAGCGTACCTCTCGATAAATCAACTCCCTAACATCATCTTTTGTCAATTTCCTCCTCTCAAACTCAAACTCGAGCTTCGATATGGGTTGAGTGGAAGGCTCGCGGCCCACATTTGACAACCCATGAAAGTAAGGATGACCCAGTGCCTGCAAAAATAAGAACAATAAAAAAAGAACAACAATAGGATTGCAGTTATCAATCAGATTTCAGAAATTCTCTTTTAGATAATAATCATAAGTAATAGAACAGTTCTTGGCCAGAAGAAATAACCTCTTCGGCAGTTGATCTATCTTTTGGATCAAATGCAAGCAAATGTTCTAGTAAGCTAAGAGCCAAAGGATCAGCATTGGGAAATTTCTCTTTGAACGGAACAGGTTGTTTCTTACGCATGCTGCTTAGATATCTTCTCGCCTTTTCATTTCTGATCTGCCATTTCGGTGACAACAAAATTAAATTATGAAGCAAATACAACGAGAATAAAGAAAGCCTTACCCTTGATTCTTATGAGAATGCAATGAATGTAGTTTTTTCTTAGCAACTTGAAGTACTATTAACTTGAGTAATACAAAAGCAACTGCTCAGAAGATACAAATATAAAAACTAGCCAGATAGTAGAATTAAATAACTAACCCTTGAAATAGCTTCAGGTGGAGGAGTGCCAAGCAAATCTGTCATTAAATCTAATTGGTGCACCACATTTTTTCCAGGAAACAATGGTTTTCCAATAAGCATTTCTGCAAATATGCATCCGATGCTCCAAATATCAATGGCAGGAGTATACTGCAAACAATTATTTTGAAAAACATTATACATAGTTTTCAATTACAGAACACAAAATCAAGTTACCTAGAAATAACGAGTTTCCTTAAAAGCTATTTTACAGGGATGGTAAGATAAAAAATAAAAGAAGCATTATAATTAGCATAATTTTAGCTGGCCTACAATGCACCAGTTAAATAGCTAGATTCTTGTTTAGAACTTGTTTTGTCATGCTTAGACAAACATTTTCATTTCGTTGCCAATACCATTTGCTAAGGTTACCTTGTTGATTTTCTCTGCCGATCTAACATACAATAGAGAATATAAATCAAGGGTCGTGCACTCTTTATAATATAGATAAAGTGCAGTAAACAAGCAGTATAAAGGAAAAGAAAGTATTGGAACATATATCAGCTTACTTTAGAGAAAAAAGATCCACATAGCTCTGGAGCACGATACCACCGAGTTGCAACATAGTCCTGCAGAAAAATTAAGAAAATGAAAGTTAAAGATCAGGAAGTGAAGTAGTTGACATTCAGAAAGGTATAGCTATGAATAAATGTGAGAAGCTTAATAAAAGTCAAGACTTACAGTCCAAAAAATAGCTGATGGGGCATCATTAAATGACACACGGGCAAGACCAAAATCGCAAATCTTTAACTTACAGTCGGAATTAGCAAGAATATTTTTTGGCTTCAAATCTCGGTGGAACACATTTGCTGTATGTAAATAAAAATAACAACAATATCTCAGATAAGTTCTTCACAAATGCATGGAAGAAGGAATGTGAAAGGAGAGGTTTCATATTGCAGAATGTAATAAACCTGTGTGAATGTATTTTAAGCCTCGAAGGAGCTGATACAGGAAAAATTGATAATGTTCAGGTGATAGATCATCATTAGCCTTAATCACTTGGTGAAGGTCAGATTCCATCAATTCAAAAACAACGTAGATATCTCGAAATTCTCTACGAGAAGGAGGAAGCATTATATGCTTTATTTCAACAATATCAGGATGGCGAAGCAGCCGAAGAAGCTTGATTTCTCTAAGAATTCGTGTAGCATCAGAGACATGTTCAAAAACATCATTGATCTTCTTGATTGCAACCCTTTCTCCAGTGTGGGTATCAACTGCAGAACCCACAACACCATAACTACCTTTCCCTATAACTTCTAGAACCTGATATCTACTCGCTTCCCCATACTCTGTGAAGAATTCTGTTTCCTGTGCATTCTGTTAAATTAGTACCCAATTAGAATTTGTTGAGTGCAGCTTAACCATTTACGTGAATGTATACAGCAGAAGAAGAATTTTCCTTATTAAGATAATGAGGCACTGTTCATTTCTTCCCGTTTAGAAGAGAGAGTAGATTCTATTTTTTTCTGCAGTTTTTTTCGCTAAGTAGATGGTAGAAAGGTGGATTTTTTGACATATATTTATGTTCAATTACAATCCGTGACCCAAAAAAAAAAAAAACAGAAACTTAATGCATCTCATGTCCAAACTATTATAAAACAAATATAGATTGTCAACCAGTTGCCACTTATTCAGCATATTAACAAGATATCAGACAAACACAGAAATCACAACGACACATTTACTTCTAACTAGGAATGGGGATAAGTTCTTCCACTAATCTCTATCCTCGCCTGCTCACAAGGTCCAATTATCAACAAAAGAATTTAACCAAAATCACAATGATCCAAGGTACAAAATATTCAAGAGGATATAATTTCAACTAGACTAGTTATAATTAAAGAAAAAAAATGTGCAGAAAAACCATAGAACTCCCGAATTCTGGAATCACATTGTGCAAACAGTTTAACATCTAGGAGAAACAAGAATTAAAATATAAACTAAACTGAACTAAACTCGGGTCAATAACCGCCATTGAACTCCAATAGAAGTACGCGTAGATCTATGCCAAATGCCCACGGAAAGAAAAATTAAAATGGCAACAAGAATAAAGCAAAAGGGCTCGGAAAAAACAATAATGGTAATAATAAAACGAACCCTTCTGTGTGGATCCATGGAGGAAGATGAATTCGAAACAAGAAAATAAACGCGTTTAGGGACTTTGATAACTTCAAGTCCAGAAAGATCAAAATCTTCCACAATCTTATGGCCCTCTTCTTCTTTTTCTTGAAAACTTTTCACAATTTCATTTTGGTTCTTGACATTGCCACTGCTATTATTGTTTATAGTAGAAGTAGTTGAAATGACTCTGCGTTTTAACCATCGACGAACCCCATCCACGAATTTCCCACCACCCATATAACTGCAAGAAAAACCACTTTTTTCTCTTTCTTTATGGGCCCTTCTTTTTTCTCCTCAACTTTCGATTCAATTCTTGATTCTATTCCACACGCAGTCTCTCTCTCTCTCTCTCTCTCTCTCGCCCCCCTGATATTCATATTCCCCTTCTCGTCAATGTAGACAGCTTTCGAGAGCGGGAGCCTATTGGGCAAATGTTTACGTTTGGCCATGGCTAGTTCTTTTCTGTTTTAGCAGTTTGTCGGTAAGTCCCTAATCTATTAGAAATGTAGCTAGTAAGTCCCTAACTTCCCATTTGGTAGCCGGCGAAAAAGCCTTTCTAGATGTAAATTATAACCGTCTATTTATAGTAAGTAATTGACGTTTCACTTTTACGGCAATTAGGTATGCCGTATATTGAAACTGTCCATTTCAAATAATGTGACTTCAACAGAACTCATTTTAAATTTAAAATAATAAATTCTTTAATTTTAAAATTATTAGAGAAGCAAAAATGTAAAGAAAAGGAGAGGAGAGGAATGTTATTATTTTAATTTTTTTTTCTTTGTTCTTTTCTTTTGATTAAAGATTAGGAGCCTGTTTGGTACAAATTCTCATTTTCTACAGTAAATCAATTCTTATTTTTAACCACACATTCTTCAATAAAATAATATTTTCCGTCACATCAATATTTTTTTTCTTTTTTTTTCAACCACACATTTCTCATCATATCACTATTCAAAAATCAATTCTTCCCCCAAAAATCCCTACCAAACACACTCTAGGTTACATTTACTTTTTACAATTGAAAAGAAGTAGAAGCTACTCTCGAGTTTTTCTTGTCGAATATAATTTTAAAGGTTACTTTTTGTGCGCAAAATTTAATTTTCGGTGGAGTAACTTTTATTCTATCAATAAATAATAATAATAACAATAATAAAGTAATTTTTAAGTGTAGCCAAATATATGTCCGTTAGATACCTACTTGTTATAGAAGTAAAAAGACTAAGACTCGCGAGTCAAAAATATTCATTAATCCATGTCCGTTAGATATCTACTTTGCATGTCTCTAGTTTGAATAAGATGTTGCTTTACAACTAAATCAACTTGTAACATGAATGTCACGTTTACATATACTGATATTGAAATGACATTAATTATTGTCGTGTATATAAAGAATTACATAATACTACATAGAACTCCATCATTTGTTAATTTAAAACAAAGTCAACTTTTTTATCCAATTTTTTCCCTTCGCATTATTTTATGTAATTCATTATGTACCATTTTTATGTATAAAGTAGCATAATCCTACATTTATATAGCATCTTAAGAAATTTCATGCTCATATCACGGGATAAAATAAATAATTGATCTCTAATTCGAGGTTCTTCTATCTATTCTACCATGTTGAAACGACTATTAGTGAAATTCATTTAGTCATTCCTCTAATCATGTCAAAACACTACATTTGATTCTTCGCACAATCACTACAAGATCTCGACTCTATACTTGAAACTTGAAAAAGTCCATCCATACTAATTTATATAAAATCATTCCAATATAGATTATTGAAAATCTCGAATCATGTCAAATGGTAACTTATACTACACAACCTTTTAACTATCTATGAAAAACATAATTTAACATCATAATCGCCACTGCATTACTCGTCACTGCAATGTTATCGAGTTATCTCGTTATCATTTTGGCATCACGTGCAAATGTCATCGTCATTGTGACTTTTATGTCACAAAACCACCAATTTTGGTATTGAAACGACGACTTTGAATCATTTGTTATTGTTCTCATGGTCTTGGAATGTTAATACAATTTTCAACGTATTATCGCTTCATCCACACCGTATCAACACTTGTGCCTAAACACTTATATGTTCAAACAAAACAATGATAAATAATTTACCTATTAACTTTGACGCTTGTTTCGGTTCCATTTTTTAAAAATAAAAATTTTCAAAACTCATTTTTAATTAAATATTTTTTCACAAAATAAATATTACATGTAAATCGAAAAAAAAATTATTATTTTCTTAAATCATATTGCTTCAAAAAATCACTAGTTTAAAACTCCAGTAGCTTAAGGCCCTGTTTGGTACACATTATTTTTTTCATTCTCATTCTTCTACTCTTTTCAACCACATATTCTTAAATGAAATAATATTTTCCATCACATCAATAATTTTTTCTTCATTTTTAACCACACATTCTCCATCAATCTACTATTCAATAATACATTCTTTCAAAAGAACGTGTCCCAAACACAATCTAACTTTATTGAAAATAGTGAAGTAATTTACGAACTCTTTATATTGCAAATCATCAAATTTTCAACTAATGATAAGTACAGACACAGCCATTTATCAAGCTCCCAAACACACATACTGCACAACCGTTTCTTCAACGATCCACACGCCACCCTCTGCCATTTTCATCCCAATCCCAAGGCGCTTCTCTGCACCAAACCCCTATCCCTTTCTCTCTCCACACATATATACAGATATATCTGTATCTGCATGGACCCATCAATAATTCCACTACAGGCTACCATCGAACCTGAACCTACCGCCGCTGCCCGTGTAGCTCATGCCGCATCCGGCGGCCACCCACCCTATACTGAGGTACTGTGAAGTGTAAACGAAGAAAACCCATAAATTATTTTTCCATTTTTTCGAAGTTTATTTTGTGATTTTTTTGATTTTGGGCAGATGATAACGGCGGCGATAGCGGGGTTGAAGGAGAAGAACGGGTCGAGTAGAAGGGCTATAGCTAAGTTTATAGAAACTCAGTACACGAACCTGCCCCCAACTCACTCGACCTTGTTGACTCAGAATCTGAATCTATTGAAAAACAATGGTCAGATTGTCATGGTCAAACACTCTTACCAGCTTCCAAGATCTGCTCCTGTGCCCGTGGCCGGAAACGGAGCTGTTAATGTCCCTTTTGATCTCAATTCCGTTGGGTCCAAAAGGCGGCCTGGTCGCCCTCCTAAACCTAAGCCCGATAACGTTCAAAATGCTATACCTGTTTTTGTTCCTGTGGGCCAAAATTCCGTGACCACAGCTCCGCTGAACCCACCGAATATGGCGGTTGGGCCGGGGGCTGTGTACGTTTCTGTTGGACCCATTAATGGGGCTGCTCCTGCTGCTGGAGTTGGGGTGAAAAGAGGTCGCGGGCGTCCACCAAAGCAAGATGGGGCTAACCCTGGTGTGTCGAAGAGGGGGCGGGGTGGTCGTCCGAAGATTGTTGGGGCTCAGCCAAGTGGTGTGGGGAGGCCCAATACAGGTGCAGCTGCAGGGAGGAAGGGGTCTGGGAGGCCACGAGGCAGGCCGCCAAAGGCTAAGGATGTGTTGGGAGGTGTAGCTCCAGCTGCACCTGCTGTTGGAATGGTGGATCCTGTTGCAGTTGGGCTTCCTTCTGGTGATAAATTGCCGGTTGCTGCTGGTGGAGTCCCTCCGGCGAAGCGGCGGGGGCGACCTCCAAAGGCTGGTGGTGAAACAACAAAGCCCAGAAAACCGCCTTCCCGGGAGCCTAAGAAGCCCAGGAGGCCTTCTGGAAAACCTGTGGGCCGGCCCGGAAAGGTAAAAATTCATGTTTGCTGCTTGATTGTGTGTAGGGAGTGCTGCAAACTGTTTGAATCATATTATATTTTGTTATTTCTTTCACAATGCTAATAGACTGGATTTTATTTTCGTAGAACAGAGGATTTAGTTTTTAAATAGTGGAGAAGGGTCTTATGAGTTTAATATTTTGCATAAAAGAAATGCTTAACTTAAAGAAGAAAAACAATTAAACTCGTGTTTAAAGATTTTACTATTAGATTACCTAATGGTAAAAAGAGGATGCATGTTGACAATTATACACCAATTTCAGCATATTTTCGAATTCTAAATACCAATACTATGTCTATCATCATGCTTGGTGGTTGACTGGTTGCATATTGGAACTTATTCTTCAACCATATTTTGTACATGTGACTCAAAGTTAGTTTTGGTGTATTTTAGCATATAGTTACCTACATTCAGTTCCTGTACTATAAAAAATGAAGAGTAGGGATGAATATTATCCATGTTGAACTTTGTATTTGCATAATTTGGTGTAGTTTTTTGGTGGTTTTTAAGTCACCACTTCATATATTTGCATTTAAACTAGCATTTATTTACATTAAAAATGATTTTTAACTGTGCTTTGGATGTTTGGCAAATTAATATACTAAGTGTTCCCTTAATTAATGTAAATGAAGCTGGAAACTATTGAAAGAGGATGAATATGCCAAGGAAAAACGAGAGAGAGAGGTACATAAAGTTTTGCGTAACAACTTACACTACCTTTGGTCAGCCAGTCAATTCAACAAAGAACACCCCATACTTATCTAGAGACAACCATGTCTTAGTAGATCACTTCAATATAAAAATCGGGAGTTCTTTCAGAATCATCATTTACATTTGTATTCCAATTTTATACTACATGCTGCCTCTAGCTCCACCTGAGGTGCAGAAACATTATGAAATTCTTGTAATAAGAATTATGTAATAAATAAGAATGATATTTGAACAATCATGCCTTGAATTTTGGTTCGGAAGCGTTTATGAAATTCTTATAATAAAAATTATGCAATAATTAAGAACAATATTGGAATAACTTGCTTGAATGTTATTGAATAATAATTGATGTTATCTAAAAAGTGTACAATGTCTCTATATTTATAGACAAAATTGTTCCCTAATTCTACCGATAATAGAAAACTAAAATAAGGATTAATAAATCTTAATCTAATTAGAAATTATATTCTAATCAATAAAGAAAAGATATCATTATATAAACAAGAAATAAGAACAAAAAGATAAGTAGACTTAGAAAATGAAACTAAAAAAGATAAATCACAATTGTAGTATGAAACTACTAATCATGATTATGTACTACATTAATCCCCTCCACTTGAATAAAATTCGTCATCGAGTTTTCTTGAAGAAAAAATCAATTAATTTGGAGAAAAATACTCAAAAATTTCTGTCAATACTAATATTGAAGAAATTTCAATTTCTTGATGTTCGGCCACCCCCACAATCTTTGTTCTTATCCAGGAATAAATTTGCCATATAAGTTACCTCCCCTGTAAAATTGGTGCATGATAGCTTGGGCTTGATAAATCGATTTTTTTTGCAAAGGTCTGATATAATTTCTGAGCAAATGTCTCATGAGTAAATTTTGGAAACATACAAGCTTTATCGAGAAATGCAATTATTCCACCAGGTTTCTTCTAAATCAGATCGAGCACATCTTGATTATTAACAAACTCTACATAGCTCCAGTTTATCTTTTCTTTTTCATGCTCTTCTGGTTCCATCTTAAAAATATGCTGGTTAAAATGTTGTTGCTGTTTTTTATTGGTGGAATTGACACATAACGTCTCAAAACTGTTGTGCTTAAAACTTTCAAATCCGTAGATATCAAGAACTCTTATTATTGTTCATTTCTTGTTTAAACGGATAATGCACTCTTTATGTATTATATTTTGATTTTGATTTATAAAGTACACGATTACCTATAAAAAAAAAAGATATCAAGAACTCTTATTTTGATTTATAAAGTACATGATTACCTATAAAAAAAAAAAAAGATATCAAGAACTCTTATTATCGTCTTTGAGTTTGGATCATGTCCAATAGAGGTACTTATTCTTTCCATAGCTCAATCAAACGTGAGAATATACAGTTTAGACAACATATCACTGCTACTCAAAGCATTCTCTGGATCAAGAGTCCGAGTAATAAGTTTCTCAGGAGTCACCATCTCGCGCTTAATAAGTGCATCTTCCAGGCTCTTGGGATCACGCTTGAGCAATTCATCAGTATTATTAAGATGAAATCCAGAGTTTTCATCCTTAATCACAGAAGAATCAATCTTGCTATTAAGAGCATATTATAACACACCCTGATGACTCCAAGCAATGGTTCACCATGAACCCTGAACTTAGTCGATGCTACAGCAATAAGAAGCAGCTTCAATACTTGAAGAGACTAGCACAACTATAGTCTTGATGGGAATATTAGTGAATAGTTGCGCATTTTTGGTACCATCTAGACCACCCTTAAGGTGATTGTACCCAAAGAGCTTATGGAGGCAATACATTGCAAGCTCCACGACTCTAATGCAATTCGAAGTGGATTTAGAACAAGCTCAGTCTGAGCTCCTCCTAAATTATTCCCTACACTTTCTAAGGATGTTATGATAGATCCACTATTGTCCGCAAGTCGACTAACAGATTCCACCTCTTCAGCGGCAGCAGTTGGAACAACGTTTGATTGATCTGATTCCGTCTCAGATTTTTCAGCTCTAGCATCAATTGCAGGTAAATTACTTGTGACTTCAATTGAGGATGCTGCTTGGTTGGATACACCATAATTAGATTGCTCACTAACGTCCTTTGCACTGTCTTTAATTCCTTCATGATTGACAAGTTTAATTCCCTTCTCTTTTGTTGGACACTTCCAAACTTCAACTTGCTCATCATCAGACTGTGGCTCGATCTTGGAGTTTTCAATTGCAGTTTCCATATACAAGGAATCAGTAGGCCTTGAATTTTCAATTTGCACATGCTTTTTTTATTTTAGTATCATTGACATTAAAATTCTGATTATCTTGAATTACATCTTTTTTAACCTCATCATCTACCTTATGGATCTTATTCTCTTTATTACCAGTACTTACAAATTGCTTGTCACGTGATACCAAAACAATCTTCTTATTGTACCACCTAAACACGTACCTATTATCACGACATATGTAAGTGTCATCCATAGTTTGAAAAAACGTAAACGGGTACTGAGGCCTTTTTTTGTCATGAGGCGAAGCGTAAGCCTCAAAACGTTTTGAGGCGTAAGCTTCACCACAAACAAAATGGGTGCAATCTGTCGAACAGAACAAGTGCAATCTAGCGTCGATGCACTGAACAAGAAAAAAGCCAAGTAAAGTCTAGTGAAACAATTTTAAATCGTAAATCACTAGAAGAAGGCAAAAGCAAAGGAGAAAAGAGACATAGAAGCAGCACTTGTGGACCAAAAAGTCTTGTTGCCTTTTGGTATTCTAGATATTTTAATATTTTGTTTAGTCCAATATGTCTTTTTAAATTGGTCCTTCTCTTTTTTAAAAAGGGTTTTTTTTAATTCTTTTTAAAAAACCTGAAAAAAACATACTTCAAATGAGGCGCAAACCTCATTTTTTTTTGCCTCAGATGTAGAGGCGTGCGCCTCATTTTTTGTGCCTCACAGATTGAGCATCGAGGTACAGAAGCTGCGCCTCACAGTGAGGCGGG